TACAGTATTCTTGGTTGATAGTTGTTTGTCTTTAGGGCATGGCATAAATCATTCCAGGCTCTTCTTGCTTTGATTGTCTCTGCTGAGAAATCTAAGGTGATTCTAACTGTTTTCCCTTTATAGGTGATTTATCTTTTCTCCTTGACAGCTTTAAGGATCTTTTCCTTGGTCTGAATTGACCCTGTCTGGATTATAATGTGATAGTGGGATGTCCTGTTCTGGTCTGGTCTATTTGGAGTTCTAAAAACTTCTTGTATCTGAATAGGCCTATCTTTTTGCATGTTTGGGAAGTTCTCTGCTAGGATCCTGTTAAACAAATTTCCTAGACCATTAACTTCTCTCACTAGGTGCTCCTCTACACCCATTATCCTCAGATTAGGCCTTCTGATGGTGTCTTCCAAATGTTGGATAGAGCTATCATATTTCTTGGATTTGTCTTGGATGGTTGTATGTTCTTTCTCTATAATATCTAGGCTGTCTTCAATCCCCGAGATTCCATCTTCTAAATGGTCTAACCTACTATCAAGACTTTCTACTTTGCTTTTTATTTCTTTTCCTTCTAGTTGGTCAGCTTTGATGGCTTCAAATTCTTTGTTGGAGCTTTGTTTAAGATCTTGTATGAACTTCTTTACTTCCTTAATTTGGTGTTCAGTGTTTATTCTCAAATCACTTAGTTGATTGGTTATGGTTTCCTTGTACTCCCATTACTTCTGTTGGGCTCCATTCTGCATTCCCTTTGTGGTCTCCCTGACTTCTTTCAGCTCTCTGTTTATGGATTCCATGAATGCCTTTAGTGATCTTTGTGTATTCTCATCCTGCTCTCTCAATTCCTGTATTACTCTTTGATTAGCTTCCTCACGTTCACGTAATTCCTGTAGTTCTCTTTGAGTGTTCTCAGCTTGCTCAGGCCATTCCTGACTTTCTCTTTGACTGATCTCAGCCTGCTCTCGCCATTCCTTTATTTCTCTTTGAGTGTTCTCAAGCTACTCACACAATTCCTGTATCAATTTTTGAGTAGCTTCCTCACGCTCCTTCCTGTATTGACCTTTGGTTTGCCTCCTCTCTCTCCCTATCATGCTCATACAGAGTCCTTTGCAGGTTTTCAATCTTTCCATTTACCATGTTTACCGGTAGTGTTTGTAGAGCTTTTTGGGGACTCTCCTCTGGATTATTCATTATCTGTTCTGTCCCCTGATTATCATGAGTGAGATTTGAGATACCCAGACTTGCCATTTTTCTTGTGTTTTTCCAGCTTGCTCTGCCCATTTGGGATGAAAGTAAGACCAGTTTTGTCCTAGAACACTATCTTAAGGCAAGCATCAACCAAAGTCTGTAGTTGCACAGTCAAAAGTCTGCAGATACAATCTAGTTCAACAGATATATCTATTCAACATCAAACAACCATGTATTAATGGGCTACGAACCGCAAAGAAGAATTTGGCAAACCAGAAATTATTAGGTTTAGGCAGAGATGTGGGTAAAAATAGGAATAGAGGGATGTGGAAAGGCAGAGAGAGGGTTAACTAAGTCCTAATCTCAAAACAGGAAATAGGTTGGATAGAATGATAGTAGAGAGAGAGAAAAAAAGAGAAAGAAAAAAAGAGGCAAGAAAAAATAGAAAATCAAAAATCAAAATGAGCAACACTTAAAATTATGCAAATTAATAACAAAATATTCAGAGAAGAACATGGATAGAATGAGAGAAGGGAAGGGATATAAAGGAGAGGTGAAAAACTTAAAAATACAAATGCTTAAAATATTATATAGGTATAAAGAGGTAGTACTACTATTAAGGAATTTAAGTCTAAGAGGTTTTGAATTGAGTAATAAATTTCTGGATTAAGTGTGTACACAATGGGGGATAAGGTCTAATAATCGACTATGGGTATATCTGAGGATGAGCAGAACAGCGATTAAGTCATATAAAGAAGAACAAAAGAGAAAAGGTGAAAAGAATGAGAAAGGAAAAAGGATCAAAAGGTCAGTAGAGGTAAACAAATAAAAATTTTTAAAGAAAAAAAAGCACACATATACCCCTAAAATAAAAATTATAAGAGGAAGAAAAAAAGAGGAAGAAAAAAAAGTTAATAGAAAACAATTTTTTAAGTTAAAAATTAAAAAAGTTTTAGAAAAAAAATTTTTATAAAAGGCACAAAAAAAGAGTTCTTTGATTTTTTTGGGGGGGGGGGGGGGAAGATCCTGTATCTCCCTTGTGTCCATAACCAGTCTCTTGTTGGAGTCTCTGGTCTGCTTGTGGTGTTTGATTTTCCTGTGGATTGGTTGGTTTCTTAAGTCAGTTTGTTTGAGCAGGCAGAAAAATGCTCTGGGTTACCCAGATTTTGTGATCCTCCTCCCAGGCTAGTTCAATGGGAGGGAGATCTGCTTTGAGTATCACAAAAGAGGGAGATGGCTGTTTCCTCTAGTTTGAAGATCCTGTGATGAGGCTGAGTTCTGGGTAGAGTTGGGGCCTTTCAACAAACTGTAGCTTTTCCCTGAGGGGCTAGCTCTGATACACTCATGAGCCCAGCCTGGAGCCATTCTCAGGGTTTCTGTTTACTGAATTTCAATTGATTGTCTGGGCTGCTGTAGAGGGGGCAGCCTCTGTCTCTGTTTACCCACTGAAGAAAGCCACTCCTGGGGCTGGCAGCCCGGGCTGGGTGACTTTTCCCTGGGTGGAGCTGAGCCTGGCAGGTCAGGTTAGGTTCCTGTGACCTGCTAAATGATTCTAGTTTTCTTCCAAGGCCAGAGTTGGAGCTAGCTGCTCAGCCAAGCCTTTCTTAGTATCATAGGTGGAAATCTCCGGTAGTGGGAGGGGAGGGGTGGCCTTCCCTCCTTTGCTCCCTGAGAAGGAGTGAGGATGTCTGGCTTCTACTCACACTGGAGTCTTGGTTCCTGGGTCGTCTTTGGTCTGCAAACTGCAGGATGAAGATGTCTGCTCCTTGTCAGTTCTTGCTGGTGTTTAGAATTCGCTCACCCGCCACGTCTGGTGCCTTTGTCCCGGACTCTCTGTGTTGCAGGTATGGTGGCTACGGCCACCACCGCCTCAGCCACGGCTGCTAGCAAGTGCTCAGATCTGTCTCCTTGTCTGGATTTTCCCTCTCTGGCCTAACTCTCTGTGCTGTGATGGCACACTTGGTGTGATCCTCTGGCTTAGGACTGTTCACTGGAACACTAAAACTGCTTTCTATGCGAGAACTTGTTTAGCCTTCAGCTTCTCATCCGCCATCTTCCCGGAACCATAAAAACCCTGATTTCTGATTTTTTTTTAAATGGGCAAAAGACTTGAACATATGTCATAAAAAAAAAAACAGAAATACACATAAGAAAAATTTCAACAATGTTACTTATATGGGAAACGGAAAGTAAATCTGTGCTGAAACACCACTAAAGTAACATTGAAAACATCATTCGTAACAAGTGTTGGTGAGATGTGAAGTAACAGGGCCATTTAGGAATTGTGGCTGAAACTAAAGTGTTCGCTTCAGATAATGTCCTGGCAGCTTCTTACATAATTAAACATGCACTTAACATTCTGAACTAGCATTTCCTACCTTAAATATTTATTCAAGAGAAAGTAAACATTTGTGCACAGAAGATTTTTTTTGGGGGGGGGTCCAGTCGTGGGGCCTGAACTCTGGACATGGGCACTGTCCCTCAGCTCTTCAGCTCAAGGCTAGTGCTCTACCACTTGAGCCACAGTGCCACTTCCGGCTTTTTTCTTTTTGCTTATGTGGTGCTGAGGAATCGAACCCAGGGCCTCATCATGCAAAGCAAGCGCTCTACCACTGAGCCACCTTCCCAGCCCCCACAGAAGATTTTTATGGGAATATTTATGTCAGTTTTATTTGGAGTAGCTCCCAAACCGGAAGCAACAGATTTGTCTTTCAAAACATGAAGAACAAATTATGGTGGTCCCACACATGAGAAGATACCCTGAAGTAAAAGAAAAAAAAACAAAACAACACTCCCATTAATCTTATGCTTTATGAAATTAGAAAATGATACACATTTATATGAAAATAAACTAACATGCAGTGACAGATCAAATAGTATCTACCTCCAGCACAGCTGACTGCAGTGGTGGCAGGGAAGAGCAGTTGGTGGGAATGGAAATGTGGTACATATCCTTTGAATTTCATTTTTGTAAGTTACATTGTGAAGGCTACATAAAGAGCCAATATTTAACCATTCTGAAATACTATAGAGTAAGACATTCAGAATGCCAAGACAAAACTATAGTTATAATGCCAAAGGACTAAGGGAATACACACATACCACACATTTTATTTTTCTTGCATAAACTACAAAAATGAACTCATTTACTGTCTGGCCTTACATGAGAACTGCTAGAATCGGTTGTGTTTGTTTTTTTGATCCCTCATTCAGTGGCAAGAGAATGAATCAACTTCCCCAACATGCTTGAGAACAGCAAAGAAACAGGAGGGGACATTGTCCAAAAGAAATGTACTCTGCCTGCCTTGTAACCCCTCTCGACATCACCTTTATAATTACAATTTCTTATTTAAAAAGTGGGGGGGGGGGGAGTTCAGACAACACTGGAAATGTAAAATGCTATACAGAGACAGGCATGCATTGCTGGATATAGTGACTCAATCCCTGAGTATCTCAGAATTGCACTTTTAGACAGTATGTAAACAGCTACTTCAAACATTTCTGATGAGAATAGACAAATTGTAGATTGTCTGTTATATAGACAATATTACTCTTCACTAAAGTGAGTTAATTTTATGAAGAGAAGACATTGAGGAGTAGGGACAGGTTTTGTCAAAAATCCTTAGGATCCCTTCATTTTATAATCTCTGAGATTCTGAGTTTAGGGTTTTCCTATAAGTAGATTCAATGTTTTAAGAAAAGCAAGGTGAAGTTAATAATTTGAGGACTTACAAGTCATCTTTGTTTAGAGCATGTGACACAATATGTATGATAATAATGAAGCTGCAATAAATCCTAACATTGATTTTAATTAATATATCTTTTTAATTCTTTCAGTGAATAACCCTATACCTTCAAACCTAAAATCAGAAGCAAAGAAGGCTGCGAAAATATTAAGAGAATTCACAGAAATAACTTCCAGAAATGGTCCAGATAAGATCATTCCTGGTAGGTAAATTTCTAAATTTGTTTTCTAAATTGCTTTTGCATTCCTTAGCTTTGTCAGGCAGCTTCTTCCTTGACAATAGCTGTACTTTTTCTCTGTTCTGCTTTCTTCGTGGTTCTTCCCATAGGGAGTGTGACAGGTAACGTCAAGTAAGTAGTCTTCCCACTCCATCCCCTGTTAGAATCATATACAGAGTAGTATAATTTGGTGTTATTTTCTGAGATAAAATCTATTATTTACCTTTTATTTATTTTTTTATTTGTATTTTTGGGGCTTGAACTCTGGGCCTGGACGCTGTCCCTCAGCTCTTCAGCTCAAGGCTAGCACTCTTCCACTTGAGCCATAGCACTACTTCCAGCTTTCTTTTTCTTCTGCTTATGTGGTACTGAGGAATCTGCTCTTCCTGCCAGGTGCCCAGTGGGCTTCATGTGTGTTACTATTTCAGAAGCACAGCTTTTAAGCTTAAAGAAACTTCAAGCGAAAAACCTGAGTTGTCAGGAATAGTCTTCTGCAGCAAGAGATGGAAAGGGTTTGATATACACAGACTTGTGGTTGAGTACTGCTTTTTAACCTCAGTGGTATAAATTTGTCTTCACCTAATGTTATAGGCTCTGGGAAAGCTTAATTTAGAAAATAATCTTGCCATCAGTGCATCCTATATTTTAGGTGAAAAAGCTAATCAGAAAATTATTTAGGGATTGCCTGTACTGGTATTTTACTCTCTCTGAATTTGGATAATCTATAAAAAATATAGTTGGCATGTAGAGAATGTCCATTTAAATACTGTTGATATTTCTAAATAAAGGCAATAACTGTAGAAGCATTGAAGCCAGAAGATGGGATATACAAGACATACAGTCAAGACATGTCTATAAAAGTAAACATTTAATATGAATTATAGATTTCAATCTATTTTATATAGCTCTACTACTCTTCTGCTTGTTGGCCTTGTGTAGTGTTTTGTGATGCATAATTTCCAAGGGTCTGTTACTAATGTAAGTTTTGAAATGGCATAATTATATTAAAAACTTCACATTTTCCAGGGACATCTACAAAACATTTTGTGTTCCAGTGTAGTATTTGCTTTCATTGTCTTGACAGAATATTTGACAAATAATATTATAGACTGAACTATCATTTAGTGATATTTAGTTTCTTTGTTTGAAGGATGTACTATTGAGTAAAATTCACAGAATGAGGACTTTCTGCCTTATTGCATATGTAATTTAGTAATCTCATCTTAGATAATGAACTCTGAAATGTGAATTGACTAGTATTTCGTAAATTAATCTCTTTAGTATACTAGTGGTGTGCTAGTAAATTGATATTTTTATAATGCTAAATTCAAGTACTGACAAAGTACTTGATTACTATATAATATCATTTTATGAAATTAAAAGTTTTTTTTTTTTTTTTTGGTCAGTCATGGGGCTTGAACATGGCCTGGGTGCTGTCCCTCAGCTCTTCAGCTCTACTACTTGAGCCACAGTGGTTTATTGGAGATAAGAGTGTCAGACGTTCTTGCTGGGGCTGGCTTTGAACTGCGATTCTCAGATGTCAGCCTCCTGAGTAGCTAGGATGACAGGTGTGAGCCACCAGCACCCGTCTAAAAGTTTTTAAAGTGGCAAAAAAAATTAATTTTTGTTGTTGAACCTAACATTTCATTTTAATAAGAGGTAAATGTAGGCACAGTGTTTTAAGATCAACGCTCTGCTACAAGCGTCCTTTTGATCATTATTGTTTGTCTACAGCCCATGTGATTGCAAAGGCAAAAGGCCTTGCGGTCCTGTCTGTGATCAAAGCTGGATTTCTGGTGACAGCTAGGGGAGGCAGTGGGATTGTCCTGGCACGCCTTCCAGATGGAAGTAAGTTGGCATGAATATAACTATAAATGATGTTCATATTAATATTTGAAACTTACGTAGGTATCATAATTAAAATGCCCTATATAATTTGGCATTTGCTGTTCTATCATACAAGGAAAAATATTGTTCATTATTGCTTTTTCATCATAAATATACTGTAGACAATAAATACAGATGTTGGTAAGTACATATTCCTCAACTATAAATTGGTTGGATTTGGTGTTTGCTGCCACTGTGTTTCTGTAGCAGATGGGAATTTCTACTGGCATTGCAACCCTAATTTCATGGCTCAACATTGTGGCACGTTGTATCTCCTATATCATATTCACCAAATATCTTCCCTCTGTAGACTCAAAATGGCTCAGTGAATTAAACCAGTTATTTATCATAAGTTTAAAAATATACAAGTTTTAAAATAAAAAGTTTACACATAGAAAGTCAGCTCTTTAAAGAGTTGTAAAAGATGATGCTTTTTGTTTTATTAAGCATTGACCAAATGCTTATAAATAATCTCAGCAATAAAACCAAGGTACCAGAGGCCCCTTCAGGGAGAGCAGGGCTCCTTGTCAGAGGGGACTGGTCTCTTCAGGGAGGTCCTGAAGTCTGGGCCCTTCAGTGTCTCTCACAGGAGACTATTGCAGAAAGGATAACCTACTTATACTTTTCAATTTTTTTCAAAAAACGATTTCCCTCATCCTCCTGTACACTCTTCTAAGTAATTTAAAAGCTGTACAAATAAGCAAGGCAAATTCCTAATCCCAGAGGAGAGACCATAAGCCAGGCCATTCCCAACCTAGGAAATGAAAACTAACCTCAGGATTATCAGACCCTGATTTCTGTAATCACAGCTCCTCCAAGCAGTTCAGTTCTTCATGTGTCAAGCAACAGTTGCCTTCTAGCATGCATTCGTATGCACCAGCAAGGAAAGGAAAGAGGAGGAGTGAAGAAGAAAGGCATTATTAGGATAGGCTAGGCTAGGCTAGGCTAGGCTAGGCTAGAATAGGCATTATTAGACTCTTCTGCCCTCCCCCACCAAATTAAAAATACTTCTTTTAGTCTTGTTTTACATAATGGTTTCTATATCAGGAAAAGTAAGTACACAGCAGTCCTAAAATGTACTATGTCATAACAAATGGAATTGTGCTGAGTTTCCAACTGTAAAGCAGTTTATCTTAGAATTTTATGATCTTGAATTTATAGCCTAGCTCTTGTTCTACTAGGCACAAAGGGAGCCAAACAGTTTTTGACATGAGAATATTACAGCTGCACAATTCAGTATCATGTTACCCATAGGAATGATTATAAAAAACTCTTAAATCCTGATCTCTTAAGTCTGATAAATTATAACCAAAGGCTAGGACTGCTGCTAAATTATAAAAAATATAAAACTGGACTCCAGAAAATGGAAATAAGGTTTTAGTAATTAAAATTTTCAAATGTTTAGTGGCCGGGAAACTAATGGTCTGGTATTATGCATGTTGCTAGGGAAGGCTTAGAGAACCATGGGTATGTGAGTCTGACTCATGAGTGCTGAATATATCTGCCAAATATCTCAGCTTTTAAAAGATTATAAATAATTTTAATATATAGGAAAAACATGTGAGTCATCGTTTTAAAAAGAAATATTTTTCTTCCTATATTTATATGTTGGGAACGTTAAACACTACAATAAGGTTTGCTCGTTTGTTTTCTTAGAATGGTCTGCACCTTCAGCCATTGCAATAGCTGGGCTTGGTGGGGGATTCGAAATAGGAGTTGAGGTAAGTAGATTAAATACAGAAACTTAACTCACAAAGACTGAGAGCCTCCTAGTTCATTCCCTTCACTTGTCTCTGTTCCTGTTCCCCTCCCTCTTGTCCTTTGCTTCTCTTCCCACTCCTCATCCTTTCCTCTTGCTCCTTTCTTCTGCTCCCCTTCTTCCTCCTCCTTAGTCCTCTTCCTCTCTCTTTTACACATAAGATTGAAGCCAGAGCCTTATTCATGTTTGTTTCGTTTCATTCACAATTGTATCTGTTTCCATTTAGCATACATTCATATAACAAATGCACCCCATCATCTTGAACTTTCCTCCCTGAGCTCTTAGACAAGTTGGAGCTGGTCACTGGCCTGAACAAGCTTACTACAACCCTTCATCATCTGTGGCAAATTGCTGTTCCAGAACATTTGATGTTCAAATGCTCGAATTGAAGATTAATATCATGTTATTTCTGTTGGTAATTCTTCTGATGATTATGATTGTTACAAAGTGGACTATAGGTTTCTGATCAGGGTGTACCTGTTGGCAGAGGTCTGCCAGGCGGGACTCAGCCTTCTCATTTATCTGCTAACTTTTCCTCTTTGCTTTACTACTAAGCAGTTGGTAAATCAAATCTGTTTATGCTAAAATCATTTTCTTCTCAAATTTCAGTCAATTTCCTGTACAGCTATTCTTTTATGAATTTACTGTTGTCCTAGTTTTAACTTTCGTGACTTCATTAGAAGAAAATGTTTTTGTGAAGCCTGTCTGCCTCCCTGCCCTCCCTCCTTCCTTCCCTCCCTCCCTCACTCCCTCCCTCCCTCCCTCCCTCCCTTCCTTCCTTCCTTCCTTCTTTCCTTCCTTCCTTCCTTCTTTCCTTCCTTCTTTCCTTCCTTCCTTCCTTCCCTCCCTCCCTCCTTCTCTGCAATTAATTGCTACATAAATATGCAGTATAAAAAAAGACTGTTTTATTTCTGCTCATTTGGCTACATCTCTGCACTGTGTGAGGCAGAATTAGTGCCTTCAGAAACATTGCCTTGTTGGAAAGTGTGTTCCCAGCAGCCTCTGTTCCCATGTATCCCAGCAGCCTCTGCTCTTGTGTATTCCTTTCCTAGGTGAGAATTTGCTTCACACAGATCAGCTTGCTATGCTTCCATTATGCATGACCTGACCCCTCTTTGCACATCCTCTGGCTCTGTTTAAACCCAGGGGTATGGTTTGATTGTTGTGCCAGATAGCACTTATTTTAAAAGTGCTGAGAGACTTAAGTGCTTTTATCCGTCTGTAGGCTTCTTTGAATCTAAATCGCGCCTCTTACAGTCAGTATAGATTTGGATTTTTTAAATATGTCCTGATTGTTTCTGCCTTTAATTTTTTTTTAGTGGTTACTCTAGGTCCGGTCCTGGGGCCTGAACTCTGGGCCTGGGCGCTGTCCCTCAGCTCTTCAGCTCAAGGCTAGTGCTCTACCACTTGAGCCACAGTGCCACTTCCGGCTTTTTTCTTTTTGCTTATGTGGTGCTGAGGAATCGAACCCAAGGCCTCGAGCATGCAAGGCAAGCGCTCTACCTCTGAGCCACCTTCCCAACTCATATAACATTTTTTAAGTTATCAAAATAAAACCAACATTGATTTGGTAAGATTAAAAAGTGTATTTTTGATGAAGTTCTGTTCTTTTTCCTCCTTTCTAGTGGTGTTGCTATGACATAACATATATATGTTATAAGCCAACTATTATCATTATAGTCAAAATATATAATATTTAGTGTATAAATATTTAGTGTATAATAATATATATAAAATACATATAATATATAATACATATGTAAAGTATAAAATGTATAAGATATAATATATAAATATAATGCAATACATATAAAATAAAATATATTATAAAATATAAAATTATACAGTATATAGTATATTATTCTATGTTAAAATAATGTATTATATAGTTTATATCCTTTAAAGAGAATCAGTGAAGAAATTGAGAGTAAATGCTTATTATATCATATCATTAGGATGTAAATACCTATTCTATCAGCCTTATTTTTCAGTATTTTTGGTTCTATTTTGTTGTCCCTGGAGACAAATCATCTGATGTCAGTCATTTTCTTTCTGCAACTCAGCCCTGTTCCTGGCCCCTCTGATCTCTGTGTTACAGGCCCAAGACACAATTATATAGAAGTGTTATGTTAAGTGAACTGTTAGGCCCTGAGAGACAAAAGTTACATGTTTTCTCTCTTACATAGAAGCTAGAATAAGCTTCGACATATAATCATAACTATTTTGGGTAGTTTGCAAGCCTACCCAAATGTATTAAGGTAGATTTTGGGGAGGACACAGTGTAATTCCTTAGAAAGGCTAAACGAAAGGTCAACAAAATAAACACTAGGAAATGAGTGCTTGAAAAGTATGGAGATGGTTTTAGACAATGAAGGGAAGAAGTGGGTGAAGGCAGTAAAAAGTTCAATGCATATCTACAAAATGAAGAAACGTGAGGGAAGGGTGGGTTGTAAGAAATGGGTGAGAATATTCAAAGGGCTGACCTTGATCAAGACACATTGTACGCATAAACAGCTTTGTTGAATGACAACTACTTAAAGATAACAAAAATATTTTTTAAAAAGAGTTAATAAATCCAAAAAGTCAGTTTTAATCAGTTAGAAAAAAGAACTATGCATTTATACCATTTCTGATAACTTCATGTTTATCTGTACTGGGACTTAAAACATGATTTTCAGTTACAACCTAGAGTTATTTTTTTAATTCTTTACTAATTTTTTCAAATTGATATTTTAATTCAAGTACAATGTAAGACTTTCCTTTTCACAAAGGTATTATACATCAACAGATTTACAGTATTCATCATCATAGCCAGAATTTTCCTTTCTCTGTATCATGAACTCATTGTAAACATACCCACCAGACTGTGCCTGCCACATAGCAATTAAGAACATGTCTTTGCATTCATAATGAGTATTGCCTTTAGAATCTAAAGTGGTCAACTTTTGTCTCCCAGTCTCAACCCACACCAACTGATAAAACCAATACAGTGAAAAACCAGGTTGTAGTTTTCTCCATACATTAATGAACCTGAGACAGCACAGTGTAGCCAGATTCCATGAATTGTGATTAGCTACAGGGGTTTCTACAACCCTATTGAATCAAACTAACCTATCACAAGCCTTGATGGTGTATTCTGTTTCTAATGGCAATGAAGCTTGATAAAATTATCTCTTGTGCTTTTTCTACTTTGAGATTATTTACTTCAAATATAGATGACACAAAAAATATTCTACTAGTTCTAAGTATCATTTTTTACTATAAACCTCATTTATTCCCCTCAATGAAGAAGGGAAGACTAGCCTTTTATATAAATGTTATTTCTTTGACAATTTTTAGTGTTTAGTCATTTGTGTAACCTTTCTGTAAAGGGTGCTGCAGCCTCTTTACTCTCAGTGAGTACTCTGGGCCAATGGATAACCACACTAAACTTGACACCCTGGCAGCTCAGACAAAACCACTACTTGCAGTCATGGTGATGACTTTCAGGATGTCTCCCATCCCCAAAGTTGTTACTAGTCTCAAGACAGGCTCAGAAGGCTGGTCTGGCACCACACTGATTTGCTTAATTAGCATAGTGGCCCTCTCCCCCTCCCCCTCCCCATCCTCCTAAGGTATCTAGAACCAACTGAAAATAGTTGACAGCAGATTCAGGCAAGCAACTCCTTGTTCTTTGTAAAGGCCTCCAGCTGAGGTAGAACCTGCTCTTTCCTCTACTGCTCTGCTTGTTCTGTGAGCACTTTTTCTTTGAAGATAAACTGTCAGCCTCCAAAACTGAGGGCAGATATGTAAGTGATTAGAGAAGTAATGTCCAGATTCACTCTTCGACACACATCAACTTTAATCTCAGTGAGAAACGCAACACTTGCAAGCACATTTTCTCAGTCAGCTCTGGTCACCTGTAAAAATTCTAGGCCTTCATCCTCAGACTCACTTTCACTCAGCTGGAGCTCCTGAGGGTGATCTAATAGGGAGTTCACAGCTACAATGTCACCCCTCACAGATATGCCCATTTCTTCCAGCTTCGCTACCATAGTCTGGAGACTCTTTTGTAGAATGCAAAGGTGATGTGAGGGTTGCTATACTGCACTGGTTGCTGGTGATTGGCCTGGAGGAAGTCTTCAGCCTGCTCAATGATCCTTTTGTCACCATATTGGCCTTGGTCCAGCCAGATGTGATGCAGCCTGAAGAATCTTCTGCCTGAAGAATCCCAAATCTGAAAATAAGGCCACTGACTCAGTTAAACAGGGCAAGGAGTCTTTTTATTAGCCACACAGCAACTACACCCCACCCACTATTTGAGTAGTGGGATACAGTGAGATCTTCTTTTCCATGAGGGTCTTTTAAAGGAAAAAACACACAAGTCTTGACTTGGTTAGCATGTCTCATACTATCAGTACTATCCGTACTTGATTACAAAAGTCAAAATATATCCTTGGATTACAAAAGTCAAAACATATCCTTGGGTAGGGGTAGTCTATTTTACAGAAATGATTTTTATTATAAGCTCTTGACTAATACAGCAACTCAGTACAGCAGCTCAGTACAGCCTCAAGGTTGTCAGTCGCCTTCAGCAAAGTTTGTGGTAAACTGTAAAGCTGCCATCTTGGTAAATTTGAGTGAGGGAGAGATGTTCTTTTGCTCTTTAGCAAGGATGGAAAAGGCCTGGAGTTTCTCTCCACAGAGAGGTTCTGCCTTTAATATCTGGCCCCATTTTTAATAATCAATAATTTTGTTCTGTTTCTGATTCCACATCTTATGCTGCCTTTCTGCCAATGGCCTTCACCCCAGTGTGACCACCATTTGCAATGACATCTACCACAAGGGTCTGCTTTCCTCCCAAGGTATCCATGTAGCCAGACACATGCAGGGCACTAACAACTTCCAGGTTCTCTGCTGACTCCACAATGGCCCTTAGGTGGATCAGATTGGTATTTTGCAAATGGGATTTTTTAGTGGCCA